TTTTTTTTGTCTTTTTGAGAGAGGGTCTTGCTGTGCAGTTCAGGCTGGTCTTGAGCTCACTTTGTAGCCCAGGCTGGTCTTGAACTCGCAAGGATCCTCCTGCCTCGGCCTCCTGAGTTCTGGGATTACAGATGTGCCCCACCACGCCCTGGCGTGTTCCTGAATTGCGTACCTGTGCCTGTCTCTCATGCTCTCGGTCTGTCTCTATCTCTCATTTTCCCCACCGAAATGAATGGAGCCTCGGCGGCCTGTGGCAAACGTCACAGAACCCTACGAGTGTCATCTCCAGAGATGAAACCGAGTGCCCCAGGCGGCTTTGAGAAGAGGAAAGCTTTCTAAGGGACCCTTCTGGTTTTCAACGCTGGGGGAAGCTTTTAAAACCCCAGATGCCTGGGTGGCTCCCTGGGGCCGGCATCTGCATCTTTATCGCCCAGCGATCCTGCGCAGGGCGAGCCACCAACTACTTCAGCCCCACCCCTACTGCGGAGGCTCCCGGGTTTTTGATTGGCTGGATGCTGCGAGTGACGCGGCAGGAGCTGCAGCGTGTGACTGACTGCATTGCGGACCAGATAGACCGTTTCATTCTCCATCTTTATTACAGAAAATTCCCAACATACACTCAAGTGGGCTGAATATTGTAGTGATTTCCCCCCACATACCGGTCCCGGACCTCATTAGTCATTATCCGCATTGTCCTAATCTCCCCAACTCTTTTTGTGGTTCGCGCAAATCCCAGACAGCTTCCGAATTCACCTGCAAGTATTTCGGAGAAAGCACCAGATTTTTACCATGACCAAAAATTAACCTCCGCGTCGATGCCTGTCTTCCGCGCACCAACCACGCACATGCTCTTGCACTTTCTGAGCCTGGGCGCTGCTAACCGGCTCAGGCTGGATAAGCGTGCGGTGAGCACGTTCTGGGCACTGTGGGTGGTTAGCAGCAGTGCTGGCCTCTGCCCATCAAATGCCACCTAAATGCCATAGCTTCGCCTGGGCTATGATAACCAAAACTGTCTCCAGACATTTTCAAATGTGCCCTGGGGTTCAGCAGCACTGGTCTATTGGAACCCGTAGAAGTAAAAATTATCGTGTTTATAGCAGGGAATCTTCTCTGTCCCTTTTCTATCTAGAAGGAGGGGTAGCGCAGGGAGCAGTGAGACGCAGAAGGAGAGGAGATGGGGGGGATTCTGCCGCACTGGGCGCTGACTCACCGCCGTTTCCCACACCCACATCCCCAGCCCGGCTTTTAATTTGTATTCTGAGGCAGGGTCTTGCTAAATCGCTAAATTGCCCCTAGGGTTTGAATTTGCAATCCTCCTGCCCCAGCCTCCCAGAGCGCTGGGATTACGGGCGTCAGCTATGGGGGAGATGTTTTAAATACTTTCCCTTCTATAACTGGAGTCCCAAATTCCGCACAACCTGGGATTTAGGGAGGGTCCCAACCTGTCTACACTCGATTCTCTCTCTGTCCAGCTAGGTCACCTTCGCTCTCCTGGCAGAGCCAGGGCGCACTCCTGCCGCTGATCTGTGGTGACAGCCGAGGCAGTTAGCTGCTTCTCTGGGCCAGAGGTTGGAGTCGTTTGTGGCACCGGGGGTGGCACGAGGCCTCACTGAAATGGTTCCTCCGTCCTCCAGGAGGACCTCCGTGCTGCACTGACCAGAGCTCAGCGTTGCCGGTGGCCAGTCCCCCGTGAGCCACCCTCCTTCCTGGTGGCTCTACGTGGGTCCGCTCATCCAAGCCTCCCCCGTTTCTGGCCTGGCCTGGCACTTACTGCTGGCTCTGTATCCCGGAGCCTGTGCCGCCGCGTGGGTAGGGAACACCAGGCAGGGGGCCTGGGGTGCGCGCTGCGCGGGGGGAAAGGGCGCGTTAGCAGAGTTACTTTCCTGTTGGTTAACGGCATGCTTGTTTTGCTGCTCTCAGACTCTACTTACCCATGTCGAAGCGCGAAGAGTACCTGCAGGGCTCCGGGGAGGACGTGCTGGCCAGCTTCCCCGTGCAGGCCACCATTCACTTCTACAACGACGACTCCGAGTCCGAGTCCGGGTCCGAGGCCGATGAAGAGGAGCGCGGGGAGGAAGCCAGGCCCCCGGAACTGCAGCGCCAGGAGCCCAAGGCCCAGGCGGGCGCGGCAGAGCCTGGCTGCAGCGCCCAGCAGAGGAAGGGGCGGCTGCCCCTCGGGGCCTCTCCAGGGGCCGGCGCTTACTCCTGGTCCAGATGACCCGGGTCTCTCGAGCCAGCCCCGCCGGAACCCTGCCACGGCCTGCTGACAGCTGGTGTCCTCTGGTCATCAGAGGCCAGGCCGCCTGAGCTGCCGCTGCTCTGCTGCTGCCTGTGGCCAGGACTCGGCTTTTCCTTCTTCTTCTCTTGTGACTTTTCCTGAGCCAGCGAGGGGCACGGGGAGGTTTGTGTCAACACCGGCCGTCATGGAGAAAGGCCATCCCGCGTGGTCACCGGCTGAGACCACACCGGGCTCCCACCTAGGTCAGCGACCCAGCCTGCCGCTCACTTCATCCCTCGCTGGCTCTTCCCCTCCTTCTGCCTCTGCAAAAGTAACTTAGGTATCAAAGCCCGATTTTAATCCATTCTCCAAGGGCTCATTTGGTTGCTTTGTAACGTTCTGGGGAAAATATTTACTCATAAAAAAAATTTAAAAGTCAAAACAGTGAATGATTTTTCTTTTTTTGTTACCGGAAATCAAACCCAGGACCTTGCACTTGCAGAAAGGCGCTGTGCCACCGAGCTATATCCCTGGCCCTGATTTTCTTAAGAATAACAAGTATGGATTTCTTTGGATTTTTTTCTGGGAAAAAAAAATCCATGTGGTAATTATAAAAAGGCCGTGTGTACAAATATATAAGTCACAGAAGCTTAAGTCTTGGTACACTCTTGGGCTTCTTACTTGACCAGAATGACACTGTTTTCAGTGAAAGTATCTGACGTAGCCAGGCACTGTGGCTCAGGCCTGTAATCCCAGCACTGGGAAGGCTGAGGCAGGAAGACCGCTGTGAGCCTGAGGCCAGCCTGGGTTACATACAAGACTTTGTCTCAAAAGAAACAAAACAAAGTATCCAATGTATTTTTGAGTTTTTTACATTTGGACCAAATGAATATATTCCTCTTGGTTTTTGACCCAATTATCTTACATGTAGCTGTCTTCCTACATGTTGTACATTATATAATTTCTACTTGAAACGTATTTTAAAAGAACATCTAATAAGCACTTTTAATTGTTGTTGTTTTGTCTTTTTGAAACAGGGTCTCGTTATGCAGTTCAGGCTGGCTTTGAGCTCACTTTGTAGCCCAGGCTGGTCTTGAACTTGCAATGATCCTCCTGCCTTAGCCTTCCTGCCTCAACCTCCTGAGTGTTGGGATTACAGGCATGCACTACCATGCCCAGCTCTTTTGTTGTTTTTTTTGAGACAGGGTTTCACTATGCAGTTCAGGCTGTCTTTGAACTCACTGTAGATGAGGCTGGTTTTGAATTTGCAGTGATCCTCCTGCCTCAGCCTCCCCAGTGCTGGGATTACAGGTATGTGCTATCACACCCCATTGATAATCATCTTTTTAAAACATTCTTAGCTGGGTGTGGTAGTTCCCCCCCACACCAGGAATCGAACTCATGACCTTGCACTTGCCAGGCAGGTGCTGTGCCGCTGAGCTGAATCCCCAGCCCCGGAGACCCTGCCTCAAAGAAACAAACAAAAAAATTTACTTAAGTCTTTTAAAATTATGTTCATTATTTTTAAGAATGCAGAAGATGAAGTATAGCTGGGTGAGGTGGCACAAGCCTATAATTCCAACACTCAGGAGGCTGAGGCAGGAGGATTGTTGGGAGATTGAGGCCAGCCTAGGCTACAAGTGAGCTCAAGGCCAGCCTGAACTACATAGTGAGACCCTATCTCAAAAGGACAAAAAAAAGAAGATGAAGTATAAAAAAGAAAATGGCCCATAATCTCACTGTCCAAATAACCCATCGATGTTTTAAAGTTAGGAGTTATAGATGAAGTATTTTAACAATCTAAGCAACAGAAATGGTATGCACTGCAAAGTAGATGTCAGCCTCCTCTCTCACCTTCCTCTGTCTACAAGGGATGGAGTCAGTTGTTTTTTACTGTCCAACCAATAAAATATTTAAGTTCTCCCCCCTTTTGGGTACAATGGATTTTTCTCAATTTTGTCTTAAAAACAAATTTGAGCCAGACATGGTGGCCCAGGCTTGTAATCCCTGGCACTCAGGAGGCTGAGGCAGGAGGATTGCTGTGAGCTCGGGACAGCCTGGACTATATAGTGAGACAATGTCTCAACGCCCCCACAAAATATCTTTTTTTCCCCAAACTTCAGGACATTTACACCTGAGTTTATTTCAGAAAAGACTTGACCTCCTATTGCAGGGTTTTTGCAGAGAAGTTTTGGAGTCTTCCCCTTAGTCCTTCATGTGACCAGTGAGAGGAAAGTCACACGATCAGAGCCGGCTTTGTTTTTCTTAGGCAGCTGTACTACGGGGGGGATATCTGGCGCTGTTGCCAGTTTACCCCAAAGAAGCCAAAGGCAGCCTGTGTTCTGGTCCCACTGGGCGCCAGGATTTAACATGCGCTGCATGGTGGGTTTTCCTCTCATCACAGAATTCGGTCAGTTTAGTGCAAATACTGAAAACCAGACTTTTCACGTGCAGGCCCACGTGCTGTGTGTTGGACTCATGTGTCACGTGACCAGTGAGCTTGGGACCCCCAGGACTGTCCTGGGTCCTGTGACTCCATGCGTGAATGGGATGAAACCCCAAACCTTCGAGCTCCACACTTACATTTTATCATGTATCATCAACATGTATAAATTGTACGTTTTGACAGGATTCAGTGTGGTACTTCAACACACGCACCAATCAAACCTAATCTCTCTTTATACCCACCCCCCAAAAATAAAATAAGATAAAATAATAAAATAAATGGGCCAGGCGTGGTGGCACATGCCTGTAATCCCAGCACTCGGGAGGCTGAGGCAGGAGGATCGTTGAGAGTTTGAGACCCATCTGGGCTACAAAGTGAGCTCAAGGCCAGCTTGAACTGTATAGTGAGAGCCTGTCTCAAAAAGACCAAAAATAAATAAATAAATAAATAAATAAATAAATAAATAAAATACACACACACACACACACACACACACAAACACACACACACACACACACCCCTTCCAAGCCCTGAGGCATCACTGCTTGCTCTACATTGTTTGACTTCTTTGTTTTTTTGAGACAGGGTGTCAGTCTGTACTTCAGGCTGGCCTTAAAACACACCATGTGGCCTAGACTGGCTTTGAACTCAGGGCAATCCTTCTGCCTCAGCCTCCTGAGCACTGAGATTATAGATGTGCGCCACCATGCCCAGCTGGATTTCCTTTTTTAGCTTCCAAATATGAGAAAATAACAAGTGGATCTCATCTGTATGTGGCTTTCTTTCACTTAGCAGAATCTCCTCCAGTTCTATCCATGTTGCTGCAAATGACAGAATTTCATTCTTCTTCATGGCTGAATGATACTCCATCATTCATATAGCACGCTTTCTTACCCATTCACCCACTGGTGGACACTTCAGATTCGTTCAGTGTGTCAGCTGCTGTGAATGGTGCCGTGTAAGAAATATGGGCACTGCAGGGTCCCTTTGATCTGCTAATCTCATTTCCTATGTATAATATACTCAGAAGGTGAAACTAGATCATTTGGTGGATTCCTTCCTTCCTTCCTTCCTTCCTTCCTTCCTTCCTTCCTTCCTTCTTTCCTTCCTTCCTTCTTTCCTTCCTTCCTTCCTAACTTCCTCCCTCCCTTTTTCTCTCTTTCTCTTTCTCTTTCTCTTTCTCTTTCTTTCTTTTCCCTCTCTTTCTTCCTGTTTTTTGAGACAGGGCCTTGAACTCACTATAGCCCAGCTGGCCTCCAACTCACGGTGAGCCTCCTGCCTCAGCTTCCTTAGTGCTGGGATTATAGGTGTGCATCACCAGGCCGGCTCATTTTTAGTTTCCTGAGGAATTGCTATACCATTTTCCATTATGTCTGTACTAATTTGCATTGCCAACAACAGTATATAAGATGTCTCTTTTTACCAGGTGTGATGGAACACCCCTATAATTTCAGCACTTGGGGGGCTGAGGCAGGAGGATCACTGTGAGTTCAAGTCCAGCCTGAACCAAATAGTGAGACCCTGTCTCAACAAAACCAGACCAAACCAAAAAAAGAGCTCCTTTTTCTTCACAATGTCACCAACATTTGTTATTTTAAAGTATTTTAAAAAATTTGATGATAGACACTCTAAGGGCTGGGAGTGTAGCTCAGTGGTGGAGAACATATATATCCTGTGCAAGGCCCTGGATTTGAGCCCTAGCATCAAAAGAAAAAAAAGCCATTCTAACTGGGCCGAGGAAGTATCTCGTGGTAGTTTTGATCTGCATTTCTGTGCTACCCAATGATACTATAGCTCCACACTTTTGATTTTGATTTTGATTTTTTCCAGTACTGGGAATTGAACTCACAACCTCACGCTTGCCAGGCAGGTGCTGTGCTGCTGAGCTAAATCCCCAGCCTCCATAATTTTAATTATTAATAATTTCTAGACATTTGTACTCACTAAATATATATATATATATACACACACACACACACACATACACACACATAAACTATCTCACAAAGAGGCACAGATACAAATAATGTACTCTTTTTTTTTTCTTTTGTCTTTTTTGAGACAGGGTCTTGCTATGCAGTTCAGGCTGGCCTTGAGCTCACTTTGTAGCCCTGACAGGTCTCGAACTCACAACAATCCTCCTGCCTCAGCCTCCTGAGTGCTGGGATTACAAATGTGCGCCACCATGCCCGGCAATATCGATATATTCTGTCCTTGTAAAGTTATGGTATTTGTTTTTCAGGTCCTTCACCAATTTTGCAGAAGTTTTTGTTGAAATTTACAGTACATTTCCATCTTTTCCTAACACCAATCTGCTGTTTTTCAGACCAACTGGGAGAGTTTGTATTTTGTATTTTTATTTGGCTATTATATTTCTTTTAGCAAATGAACTAAAAAATACATTGCTCTGCTTGGCAAGTGCAAGGTTCTGAGTTTGATTCCTGGTACAAAAAAAATGCATTGCATCTTCTCGGGCCTTCGCCCTGAGCTCCAGCTCCAGCCCTTTTTTTAACTTTTCATTTTTTAAGACAGAGTCTCACTAAGTCACTGAGTTGCCTAGGCTGGTCTTGAACTTGGGATTTCCCGCCTCAGCCTCTCAGAGGGCTAGGATTAAAGGCATGCCCCACCACGCCTGGTTAAAATTCTTATGTAGTTTGTATTAGCTTTCCTGTTGCTGGTACAAAATACCTGACACACATCACTTAAAGAAGGAAGTGGTTTATTGGGCTTGTGGCTCAGAGGGCTCAGTCCATGGTCCAGTGCCACCAAGGAAGGAGGATCATGGTGGTGGGAGGGTGTGGAGGAGGGAAGCTGCTCTTTTACGGCCACTGGGAAGCTGAGCCTGGGAAAGAGGACCAGCAAGACACAGACCTCCACAGGCACCCCCAGAAGGCTGGGCACAGCCAGCTGTTCAGCACCCCCTAATCCCCTCACCCCCACAGGACTTTCTTAATCTGCTCAAGTTGACAATTAAGTGTGTAAATGTTTT